ACATCCCAAGAAAGTAGACCTCCCTTGCATGGTCATCGGCTCGCCCGAATGACGAACCGCTACAGCCGGGCAATGTTAAGAGCAGCTGCCTCAGCCGGCTTGCCACCATGCTAACGATCCGAATTCTCGCAACTTATGTAGAGGGGTGCAGGAAGGTTGGAGCGACGTATCCATAAAACAGCTTCCGGAACGTGTAATCAGCGAAGCCAACATGATGCAAAAGCAGCATGGATCGACTGATGGAAAGCATTAATTTTGGACAGTTGCCGAAGAGCTCCTTGTCTGAGGCCAAGACTTGACCTGCTCTGTGTAATATGTATATATATATATATACATATATATATATATATATATATATATATACATATCTAAGCATCCCTGACGTCGGTGCAGCAGTCCAACGCTCCCTCTGTGCCACAGGCCCCACCAACAAAAGCAACACAGTGCCAAACAAGGGATGTTTGGGCCGTCGCGTGCACATCCGACCTTCTGGACCCAACCCGAGGACCGGGCTGGAAGAAAGAAGCGGCAAAGCCCTGCCCAATTGCCTGCGAGCATTTTCGCTTCGGATCGAGAGCTCGAGTCTGAGCCCATTCGCTTTTGCCCAGAGCGCGAAACCCCACCTGGCAAGGACCATGGACAAAAAACACACATGCTACGACACACATATAGAAACCATAATGCTAAATTTGATCTGGACGCTAAATGCTGGCACCGAAACAAGCTCCGAACCTTCCGGTAGCGCGTAGGCTTAGGGACACCGTTTTGTGCTCAACAACACTCAAAACATCGCTGTCTTCGGATGATCGGATGAGGAATAGCCACTGCGATATTGCTGCGACATTCAAACGGCGGGAAGCAGCGGAACCTCTGTGATCCTGTGCTAGCTTCAATGTAGACTTGCACCACGCACAAATGGTTCGTTCTGAGAACAGTACAAAGTTGTTCTCGTATTGCGGCCAAGACATCCTAAACGCTTGACCTGATGCCCTAGGATAGATACGAGACACAGGAACAAAGCATTGACCCGAACATGCCCCAACCACTGCCTCTAGCTGCAACATTGTTGCAAAAATCATGCGAACTGAGCCGTTGTGCGATTGAACCGGGCTTGCATGGAGCAAGCAAGCAGCGTCTCACCACATCATGAACAGATTTAGAGTAGGAACTGGAAGGCTCCAGAATCTCGGCTTCCTAGATGGTCCTAGATCCTTAACACCCCTCGAGACATGGAAACTGTACTGCAATGTCGTAGCAAATTGACCCAACATCTCGTCTCTAGCATGTGGCTCTTTTATTGGATCTACACTGGCAACGACTGAAGTTGCTCAGGCCGGAACTGCGATCTCGAACAGGCACCTTATCGGTCAAACATAGTCAATTGACATTTGAAGGCCGCGTTAGGCTTGTTGCCTGCTCTTGCGCAGTCAGGAAGCTAAACGTCGATCTTGAAGGAACAGCTGGGGGTCTGAATTAAGCCCATCTCCATCGGAGAAGGGTGCGGAGGGTCTCACCTGAGGTAATGCCGGGAGTGGGTTTGGACTTGTTTCGGGTGGGATCTAGACCGCCTCCGATGTAGTGCGGGTTTGTATTGTTGACATCAGACTCGAAACAAGCGCCGAACTATGTCGCGGTCACCCCCAACTGCATGCACGCAAAGACCTTGTAGTAAAGGGTGGCATCACAATGTCTGACACGTGCAGCAAAAGCAAGAATACCTCAACCCCGCACCCCGCCCTCCACTGCCACACCTTTCCTGTTCGCAACAGCTTAAAATTCCTGTCCTCAGTCGCACAGTCGCAAAACCCAAACATCGCAGGTAAATGCCACCTAGAACGAGGGGTAAGGGTTTATAGGGTAGATTGAAGCTAATTGCTACGCCGGGTCCGGGGGCCGGGGTTTAAAGGCAAATCAAGGCTTCCTTTCAGGGTTCTGGATGGATACTATGAATGACTATAATTGGGCTTTTAGGCTTGGGGGCTAGGGTTACAGGCTTCGGGGTTTAGGGTTAAGGGTTCTTTTGAGAGGTTCGGGATTTAGGCTTGGGGGTCAGGGTTGGGGATTTAGGGTTTAGGAAGTTTAGGGTTGCTTTAGGGGTACTATAAAGGGTTTTGGGGCTGGGTTTCGGGATTCTAGCTGGGTGCTATAATTAAGTTTACAAGTTTAGAGTTTTAGGATTGGGGACCTAGGTTTCTAGGGTTCGGGGTTACTGGAGTGGTTCGCTTTTTAGGCTTCCGGGTCAGGGCTGAGGGGTTGTAGGACTAGAATTCCCCGTCAATGTAAGTACTATAATGGTAGAGCCGGAGAGAGTAACATTGTAGAGGCACATCTACTGGAAAGCTCACACAATATCATACGTGTGTAGGCTTACATATCAAGAAGCATGCCCCTTCCGCGAGTCATGCGGGATTTTATACTGTATGGGGCATGCCGATGAAACATATGTAGCGTTCAGGCGCGGCTATTGGTGTGTGTGTGTGTGTATAAAGGCGTCATATGCTGGAGTGCGGAACGATTACATTTGGTGAACATAAACTCATAGTATGAAGTTGTAGACATACGTGCAAAGAAACTTTCAACTGCGAGTCAGAGGCACATGGGTAGTCGTATGGGCATCCCCCATGCATAACACTATGTAGCATCTCGGGCGGGGCCATTCGTTCGTGTCTGTCTGTCTGTCCGTCTGTCTGTCGTCCTGCCTGTGTGTGTGTGTGTTTATCGTCCCTTGTGTTATGTTAGGCAGAAGCTGCAGCGTCTCGCATGACACGTATGTACAGACCTTCAGATCCGGCTATGCAGTAGCGCAGCTACGTGGGGCAACACCGTGATTGCTCCGTCGGCTAGCATCTGTGTGTGGGTGTGTGTACAGGTGTATATAGTTGATAATATGCAGCAATAGTGTCTTGCTTGAAGGTGCTGCTGTTCATAGGAGAGAAAAAGTCACAGGTTATACCGGGAAGCATTACTCAATCGTAGAAGCGTGCTTTCAGATGAGTTATATTTGTATAGAAACAGCGGGTAGTATGGGTATGGCCATAAGCACTATTTAGTGTTCCGCCGGGGCCATTCATATGAGTATCGGGTTAGAGGCAACATTGAAGAGTAGTCTCTTGTTTCAAGGTGCGTCCCTTCCTGTGAGTAAAGGGTCAATGATGTGATATTCAAGTCGGAATTTGCGTTGAAACACACACACACACACACAGGTCTTTGGGGGGGAGAGAATACATTACTACATGTGTGTATATATATATGTATACATACACAAAAACATACATACATGCATGCATACATAAATACATATATGCATACATACAAAATTACACATACATGGTATACATACACATACTCATTTGTTTGTACGTAAACATTATGTGACATTACGTGCGTACCCGAGCTGGTGTACCTGTCCCCACTTCCCTCAGCCCGGCACACGTCAGACATCTGAATGCCACTGCATCCAGGGGCACCTGTTTCCGCTGCATGGAAGCCTCGGACGGAGATTCCTCCAGATATTTCCACCACATCCCATGTCTTCTGCACTGTGCTGTCCGGGGCGATCAAAAATTTGCAGGTGTTCCATCATCAAAAAACCCAGAACTTGACATAGCATATAGGTAAGAATCTTTTCATGCACACGCAACTCTGTAGTTTTGAGCTTCGACGCCTTCGGGTTGGAGGGTGCAGGGTCCAGAGTCTAGGAGCTCGGCAGCGCAGGTTGGAGGAAATCACTGCAACGAGCTGCCTAAAAACGAAGGCGAGCTGGTCAAGTGCACGCGGCCAATTGACTGACTAATCTACATGCTGCCCTACGAGCAAATAAACTGAAGAAGGCTAACCGAAGCCATAGTGGACCTGCAGTAAATTTCCCTTGACCCTTTTCTGGGGTGTTCGTGCGTCAGGGCCAGCTTGATATATGGGAAAGCTACTCTCCTCAGGCCGGGGTAGTCACCATGCCAGCCAGTGAATGCGCCCACCTTAGACACAAACACATGCTTGTGTTGGGAGCTTCCTGTCGTAGATGGCCGACTCTGCAAAATTCAGTTCTTGGAACTCAGGGAGTATTACGATCGACTCGTTCATCCGTTGTAGGTGGCTATCACGTCCGGTGCAGGTGGTAGGCATGTTGGAAGCACAGACACGAATGAGGACTACACACTCTCAGACACGGCCCCGTAGAACCTCGGGCAGCATGCAGTTACGACGAGACTTCTGCAGCTTCACAAGTCGAGGTCTATCAGGCGTCTAGGACAGCAGGACACGACACCACTAAGGCTTATAAGGCGAAACAATTGCAATGTAACTTCGACAACAAAGCTACTGCTGGATACAAAACTTTGGTTTTCAAAAGCTCAGGCGCTAGCTCTATACTTATAACCTCACAAAACACCCAGACTGGCGACAGACGGCTGAAAGATCTAGGACAAAACTTGCGTGCCACCAATCACGTGCTCGGCTCATTACAAATCCAAGACAAACTTTTCCCTCTACGTCCACGGCTCAAGACCTGCACCCAACCAATAAAGGGCCGGACACAGCCACGTAGTCCCTGAAACCCCTCAGACCTCGAATGAGAAACCAAGCACCCATCGTGAGACTCCGAAACCTGAACGCGTCTAGTTAAGTCATAGTGAGGCATGATCCTCCTCATTGCTTGCAGCCGGGCAGCATGGCACTGCGAGCACATTCTGCGGCGACTGCGCCCCGTACTGGGCAGGTCGGGGGAGTCATGATGGGCTCCCTGACGCCACAAACGGCTCCAAAATGGAACTACTAGCTAGATCTGACCGTGCTCGACGCTGCTGTTTGGGAGCCTGTCAGAGTAGAAATGCCAAAGCAGTTTCGGTAACCAACGACGGACTCTATGCAAGTTCTCAGGAAGTGTCAGGCATGGTCTCATCATGCTGACCACATCAGATTTCCAACGGCCGCATTCGGGTTCCCGGGGCCCTCTCCGAGCCCGCCAAAGCGCAACAAAAAACTTTAGCCCAGCCTGGGATATCCGGCTTACATTACATGTGCTGCAAGGACACCACATAGTTTCAAGAAAGCATAACGCTGATGTGCGCTGAAGGTGCCACCAACGCACGGGGTGAAGAGCTGAATGCAAAATCTTGTCTGAGCTTGAGGCCAGAAGCTTCCTGACACTTTGCCAAAAGCGCCAAGGCCTTGCGACACACAAACCCAACAAGCGACAATCAATCCGAACTAGGTCTGTGGAAAATTGCAGAAATCCTATGCAGACGTCGCAAGCTAGATGTGATACTACAGTAGATTCTTCAATCGTCGAGACATGGCGCGCTGAATTTAAGTACTCCAGGCTAGCATGCAGCTCTGTGGCATCGAATCGTGGCTGTGTGTGCTCGACTAGGCAAGAAGTTACGATGTAGCAACGAGTATGACAGGCTCATCAGAATTTCAAAACATTTATGCAACCGTGGCTGGCTTAGTCAATAAGTTCGGCTGCAAGACTTGACTTTGAGGGCAAACGAACATGTGGCATATGCAGGTACACCTGGAAAGTCATCTCTAGTCTCTCGGTTGGGGCTGAAGCTTTCAACCAATGCTCCTCATTGTACCATACACGAACTTCAAACTAAGCAGACATAAACTCCTCAAGAGCTGACGGAACGCAGGTCCCTTTCAGCCCTTGCATACGATGGGTCCATAACGAATAAAGGACAAGGCCTTGACAAGCAATCGGGAACGATCTTGCTTGTGTTGCCTGCTGCTGTTTGTTTGTTTTGTTTTTGCTGCTGGTGTTGTTGCTGAACAACTTATTAGCTTTCTGTTTTGTACCATTCCTCCGGCCATTTATGTGTATCATTATTGTTGTCTTTGATGTCGTTGCTGCAACTGCTGCGGCACTCTCTATCTGGACTCCTTCGATTCGTGCAGCTTGCCTTTTGCATTGTGCAGCTCTCCTGCTGTGGTTCCTGCTGTCGATCTCGCGACTTTGGGAGTTGCTGAGTGATCGAGGTGACAGGTGATGGAGAAGATGAAGTTGACGATGACGAAGAAGAACATTATCATGCTGTTAGTGGACATGATGATGATAATGATGATACGAATGACGGACGTGTTGGCACAACTGCTGCTGCTGACGATAGCGGAGACAACGATGATGGACCGGATGTACCTCGAATGAAAACAGGCGATGATGGACGACGGTGGACGATGATGGCGCTGATGACAGGGCTTACACGTAATGGATACCATTGCCAGAGCCTACTGGGCCTACTGGCCTACTGCGCACGATCGCATGAACTCCAGGTCCGACCTGTTCATGCATTTATAATTCGTTGATTGAGAGAGAGAGAGAGAGAGAGAGAGAGAGAGAGAGAGAGAGAGAGAGAGAGAGAGAGAGAGAGAGAGAGAGAGAGAGAGAGAGAGAGAGAGAGGGAGGGCGACAGATAGAGCGAGAGAGAGAGTGTGTGTGTGCACACACACATATAAAAATACATCCATCCATCCGTCCGTCCATACATACATACACACATGCAACAATACATACATACAAACACAAATATGTACATACATACATTCGTACATGCATGCATGCATGCATGCATGCATGCATGCTTACAGACGGACAGATACAGATACAGATACAAATACACACAGATATACATGTGTATATATATATATATATACAAAGAAGGAGAAAGAGACAGAGAGACAGAGAGAGAGAGAGAAAGAGTGAGATAGATCGATAGATAGAGGTAGAGAAAGAAAGAGAGACAGAGCGAGCGAGAGAGAGAGAGAGAGAGAGATAGAGACAGAGAGAGAGAGAGAGAGAGATAGATATCTATGTGCACACATGCACATTATCGCTATAGACAGAGTCAATGCGTAAACATATATATATATATATATATTATTATATTATATTCGATCATATTTTTTGTATTTGTGTTATATATATATATATAATACGCATACACGCAAAGATTGCGATAGTTGTGACGACACATGGTAGCAGAAGCTGCGTCGTCCCTGTCTACGGAGCCTTGGCCCAGTGGAAAGACTGCCCAAAGCCTCTGCCGATGATGACGAGCCTGGGCTGCGCAGAAGAGTCGCAGTGCTTCGGGCTTGGGTCGCCGGCACCCGGGTGCGACTCCGAATTCTCAACTCGGTTCGTTTGAGATTCAGGAATGCAGATGGCATTGAAGTTATCCTGCTGGATGCACATGTTCTTGGGATGGAGATGCTGAGCCGGAAGGAACGGCCGGCCGCCAATGAAGACACCCTCTCTCGAGACTGTTAGGGGTTAACCTATGCAGTCAATGTTTTGGCTTATTTGGGTTCCGACTCCTGTAATCGAGCAGTCGCAAAAACTCAGGTGAGCGGTGTGTCTTTCTGTATACGATACGTATGCAGACCCTTGAAAACGCACACAGAGGCGAATATGCAAACACTGAACTGAAACGAGACACAGTCTAGGTTAGAGCTCTTTGGGGTGGAGCGCCTCGTCCCTGCTAGCCCTAACAGGGCAGGGCAGAGCTTATGGTCGCTCCTGGCAAGACTCCTACACTTACTCTGCCCGGTACAAGCTCTGGTGTCTGATGCCTAGTTCCCCCCAAACCAACTCGAAAGGTCCGGTGCATTCGACGTGTGCCACGAATCTAAAGTTCGCCAAACCTATATCAATTGCGGCATCAAGCATTCCGCGTAAGGTGAGGGTCGGGTCTCCCGGCATACCAGCGCTTGGTGCCAAGCTGGCTTCTTGCATGTGAGCCTTGACCGCTTGCAAGAAATGGGTGAAATCACATGCGTCCGGGTTTGTCAAGATTTACACAGAGGAAAGGACAAGACAAGACCCGATACGGAACAATCCCTGCCTGAACGAGTGTCAAGAATCTTTACTGTGTCATCAGCATGCAGTCTAAGACGAGGGAAATAACATTTCAATGTGCCGCTATCGACTTGTGTCTGCAAAACCAAGTGAAGCCGCTAAACCCTCAGAGCGAAGACCCCTAATTAAACCGTAAGCACATCTCAAAGACACTGAGAGCCCATGGGCCTGCAGTGTCAGAACTTCCTGCCATCGATGAGCGCGGCTGTATGCTGCGGCCTTGCAAGCAAAAAGCAGCTAGCAAAAGATAAGCATGCTCTAAGCCGGCTGACGTCAAATGGCCAGAAGAGCAACCCCACCCATCTACTCTACTGGACTCCAGACAAAGAAAGGACTGCTGCATGCCCACTCTTCGACGGGTCAAAGCCATGCCCAGCAGATTGTCCTTGGGACATTCCCGGCACGAACAACTGAAAATCTGAACTGAAGTTCCAAAAGTTCATCAGGACTTTGAGCCTACCAAGGGAAATACGATCAACACCACATGGTTCAGGATGGGCAAAAGTGTGAGGATGGGCAAAAGTGTGAACTCCGCGGCGTTGAGTCCTGGGATGTCTCACTAAATGCCAGCGCGCGCTAGTCTACGCCTACTGGGCTCGACGGTGTCGAAAACCTGGAGGGTGTGGTGCCGGAGCAAAGTGCTTAGTTGAGCCACAAGCGCACCCAAAAGCTTATCTGGTGGATTCATTTTGCGCTTGGGGGTCGTTCGAACCTGTTACGAGTATGACCTTGCTCACCCATGAAGTCCCTCGATATCCCCATCAACAAACCTTCGAACCTGAAACAGCAAAGCGGAAACCGTACACCCTCCCTAGAACTGAAAGCCTACTTCCCTAAAGCCAAAGCTGCTTGAAAACAATTGGTCTCGATTAGTTGGTTCAGTTGTTTCTAGTCCTATACATCCCAAAGCTTGATTAGAGTGAAACCCGGGGCCGGAGCCAGGGCTTCGTAGGTCGTTGCAGTCGGAGGAACGCCTGCCAGGCCAGAGCAATTGAAACGCCACCGTACGTCGTGGGGTCTTGCTCCGATGAAACACCACATCGATCGATAGACCGCCAGATAGGCAAATCGATGGCTGGCTGGCTGGACTAGTTGACACATAGGTGCACATGCAAATACCCCAAACACTGAACCATCGATTTACTTGCAATCCAATGAATTGGCTTGAGGGACCTTCGGAGTTTCGCCCGGGACACTTCTGGGTACCCTCAGCTGCCGACCTGTCCGGTGCATCTGCACCCAGAGCTGCTGAGCTGCTTCCCACCTTGGATTCGTTTTGCTCTGGGCACGGGCTGCCTCGTATCTCTGAGGCCGTGCCAGCAGAACTCCGATCGCATTGCACCGACTGAAGCAACGGATACATTGATGTCAACGATGCACCAAGCTCTCAATGCCAAACCATGCCAAACCCTCAACTCCGATCGAACCTGGCACAGCAATGCCAACCGAGCACTGGAGCCAGGAAGAAAGAACTCGAAACACAACAGTTGACACGCGAGGGGCCTCATGTGGCAGCGAACCTGACGGTCAGCCTTGAAGGGTAAATTACCACGCGAATGGACAATCCAACTGCAGCCTAAGCAGCTGTCCGGCCTCAGCACACGCCGCTATCGCTGCCTCGTGGAACCCAGATAGTTCAATAGTTCCGGGAGTTTAGATTGGTGTATTCTCATTTTCGCGAAGGCTCGGGCGATTTCAATACCACATCGAGACAAGCGTCGGCATGTTTTCGCTGCTTTTGTTTTTAGCCGTGCATTGACTCGCTCTTTACGAGTTGCATTGTGAGACAAAAATTACGAGTACTTGCATTGGAGGCTCGTTCTGCAGAGGTTGCCACAAGCTAAGCCATCCGTCCTCATCAATTCCACAGCAACAAAACAGTAGGGGCGGGGCCTTTTTCACACCCCGAAAAGTACTCCTCATGCTAATTGTCTCCCTTGGGGTCTATTTTCGCGACCTGTTCAGATCCTCAGGGTTTGGGGTCTAGAGCCAGCGCAGCAGGAATAAAATCTTTTTCAAGGAGGCAGAAAAACCAACCTAACCAGCCATACAGAGCTTTTTCAGTGTTTAAAGCCGGAGGAACAAAATAATCTTTAAGGATGCAAAAACAACATACTCGGCCGTACCTTTTTTTTGGCGCCCTGGGTTTGGGGGTCTAAAGCCGAAGGCACAAAAGAATAAAGAGACATAAGACAGAGAGACCACGAGACAGAGTGACGGAGAGACAAAAAGAAAGAGACACAGAAGTAACTGGAGAGAAAGAGAGGGTGACGGACGGAAAGGCAGAGAAAGAGAGAGAGAGAGAGACACAGCCGAAAAGAAAGACGGAGGGAAACCCAGCGGGGCCAGGGAAAGCAGGGGTGAGAGAAAAGAGAGAAAGCGACAGACAGACAAAGAGACAGGGAGACAGGAAGAGGGCACGGAAGCAGAGAAGAAAGCAGGAAAAGGCAGGGTACAGAAAGCCACCGAGCCAGGAGCCTTCGAAGTGCAAAGAATTTCAGAAAAAAAGGAGCAAGCCGCTCGAAAGAGACTGGAAAAACTGAAAACACGCCACGCGAAAGACACTAGAGATTTTGTGAACAAGGAGCAGACCGCTCGAAAAGGGCCAGAGAATTTGAGAACAAGGAGCACACTGCTAAAAAAAACTACAGACTTTCAAACAAAGGGCAAGCCGGTCGAATGAAAGATACTAGAGCATTGGAGAGCCAGGAGCAAACATGCTCGAAAGAGACTAGAGAATCTGAGAACAAGGAGCGAACCGCTTGATAAATACTACAGAATTTGGTAACGGGGAGCAAACCGCTCGAACAAAAACTAGACAACTTGACAATGCAATGAGCAGACCGCTCCACTGAGACTAGTAAAACTAACTGGGAGCAAACCGCTCGGACGAGACCAGAGAATCTCAGAACAAGGAGTAGACCGCTCGAAAGAGACTGCAAAGCAAATGAGAATTTGAGAACAAGGAGCAAAGCGCTCGAAAGAGACAACATAGCAAATTTGAGAACAAAGAGCAAACCACTCGAAAGGGACTCGGGAATTTGAGAACTAAGAGCAAACCGAGCGAAAGAAACTAGGACTTTTACATACGGAGGGCATCTCTCTGTAAAACAACAAGAAAGTCTGAAAATACATGGAGCAAACCGCTCAAAAGACACTAGAGAACTTGAGAGCAAAGACCAAACCGCTAGAAAAGGACTAGAGACTTGAGAACCAGGAGGAAGCCGCTCGGGAGAAGCTGGAGAACATGAGAACAAGCAGCAAACCACTCTAAAAAAGGCCAAAATAGGAGGCAGCTCGAAAAGTACTAGCGAATCTGAGAACAAGGAGCAAACCGCTCGAACCGCTCGAAAGGGACTAGTGTACTTGAGAAAAAGAAGTAAACCACTCGAAAAGGACATAGAGTATTTCAGACGAGGAGCAAACTCGGAAGGGACTAGAGGATTTCTGAACAAAGAGCAAACCAAAAGATTTGAACCTGAGAAGTTGAGAAGAGTGAGAGAACCGCTAGTCCATTTCGAGCATTTCTCACCTTGTTCTCAAATTCTCTAGGTCCGCAGTCCTTTTGAGCGGTGTGCTCCTTGTTCTCAAGGTCTCTAGTGTCTTTTGAGCAGTTCCCTCCTTGGTTTCAAGCTCTCTAGTCTCTTGGAAGCGGTGTGGTGTTTGTGTTGTAGTTGTTGTTCGAGCGGTTTGGTTTTTTGTTTCCAATTTTGTCTAGTTTCTTTCGCTTGGATAACTCCCCGTTCTTAATTTCTGCAATATTTTTCGACCGGTTTGCTCTTTGTTCACAAATTCGCAAATCGTTTGTTCTGAAATTCTCTAATCTCTTTTGAGCGGCTTGCTCCTCGTTCTCAAATTCTGTAGTACCCTTGAATCGGTTTGTTGTCAAATTCTCGAGTGTTGTTCGAGCGGTTTCCTGTTTGTTAATGCTTTATCTAGCCTCTTTGGGAAGTTTGCTCCCTGTTCTCAACTGGTCTATTTTTTTCTACGCGGCTTGCTTCTGTTTCTGTCCCCTTCGAGCCGTTTGCTCAATTGCTTCAAAAGCTCCAGCGTCTTGTTCTCAAATTCTCTAGTCTCTTTCCAAAAACTTGCTCCTTGTTTTCAAATCCCCTGGTGCGTTTCGAGAGATTTGGTTTTTGTTCTCAACATCCCTAGTCTCTTTCGAGCTGTTTGCTCCTGGTTCTCAAACTGCTTAATCCCTTTCGAGAGGATTGCTCCTTGTTTTCAGATTCTCTAATCTCTTTGGAACGGTTCGCTCCTGGTGTTCTCAAGCTTTCTGATGCCTTTCGAGCAATTAGCGCCTTGTTCTCAAACACCCTAACCGCTCTGTCGAGCGGTCTGCTCCTTGTTCTCAAAACATATCTTTTTGAGCGGCTCGTTTCTTGCTTTCAAATTTCTAAACCCTTTTGTAGCGGTTTGCTACCTGTTCTCAAATTCTCTAGTGTCTTTCGAGTCGTTTGCTGTTCTTCTCGAGTTCCCTAGTTTCTTTCGAGCGCTTTGCTCCTTGTTCTCAAACTCTTTAGTCTCGTTCACTTGCTTTGCTCTTGGTTCTCAAAATCCTCCAGTCCTTTTCGGGTGGTTTGCGCTTGTGAAAAGTGTCTAGTTCCTTTGGATACGGGTAGAGTATTTGAGAACAAAAATCAAACCGCTCGAAAAGAGACTGGAAATTTCAGAACAAGGGGCTAGAGAATCTGAGAACAAGGAGCAAACCGCTCGAAAGGGACTAGGCAATCTGAGAACAAGCAGCAGACCCGCTCGTAAAAGACAAGGGAACTTGAGAATAAGGAACTCAAAACGGAGCAAACCGTTCGACAGAGACGAGAGAATTTGTAAACTAAGACCAAACGGCTCGAACTGGACTAAAACAATCAGAACAATGAGCAAACCGCTCGACTGGCGAATTTGAGAACAAAGAGCAAACCAAGCAAAAGAGACTAGAGAATTTAAGACAACGAAGCAAACCGTTCTCAAGAGACTAAAGAATTTGAGAACAAGGATCAAACATCTCGAAAATGATTTGAGAGTTTGAGAACAAGGAGCAAACCGCTCGAAAGAGATTACACAATTTAAGACCAAGGAGCAGACCTCTCGAAAAAGACTAAGAGAGTTTGAGAAGACGTAGCAGACCGCTGGAAAAGGACTTGCGAACTCGAGAAAATGAGTCAATTGCTCGAAACAGACCGGGGGGTTTCAGAACCAAGCGCAAAACAAACGAAAGAGTCCAGAAATATGATAAGCGAAGGATAAACTGCTCGAACAGGACTAGAAAACTTGTGAACATCAGGAGCAAACGGCTCGACTAGAGAATTTTTAGAAGGAGCAAACCGCTCGAAAAGGACTCGACGATTTGGGTTTGGAGGAAAACAAGCAAAAGTAAGAACACACAAGCGCTGAAACACCCAGGCGATACTGGCACGTCTGGATGAAGCCTTGTCAAGAAGTGAAAAAACCTTTGTGTGGCCTGTCAACGTGATTTCTGCCCGGCTCGAGGCTTAATTTGCTCCTCTCGCCTCAGGGGCCATGCGAAGCCTCCCGCAGAGCCCAATTAAACCGCATTGTTGCAGGGGGAGGGCGTCATTTAAGACCTCGCAGGGGGTACACCATGCGGCCTTTCAAACCCCGGCGCTGAGGGAAGGCGGACGACCCAGAGCAGAGAAAACAAACCTTCCCACGCTACCTCAGCAAATCCTATGGGGAACAAAACTAACAAAGCCCGAACTAGCTCGGTGAGCAAGCTGCCAAATGTTCTCCCAGCTAGACCCTCGAACCGGCACTCCTCCCAGCAACCAGACTCTGAAAGCAAAGGTCCCAGCAGCTTTTCTGAAAAAGCAACAACTTGCTTCGAATCCCGTAAATCCAAAACCTGAAACACTCGATCTATGCATATTCATATTTATATACAAGGAAATCTCTGGCGCGGCAGGAAATAGCAAAATAGAAACATACTGGGAATTGGCATGAAGCCAACGGCATACTTTCAGTTACATGTTCCTTCCTAATTTGGCGCATCAAGGATTCAGCCTCATAAGCCTACATCGGCCCGGACTGCACAGGCGCAGGCTGTAGTCACCACCGCATCCTGCAGCGCAGCGCCAGCAGCATCGAACCTCGGCATATGGCCCAAGTGTGTCCGGTGTCTTTGAAGTTCATGATCATGTTTGCAAACACACATGTGCGATACAGGCCTTGCATCAGATCATCAAGGTCAAGACACACACACACACACACGTCCCACATGCGTTCATATCTGCATAAATTCATGCATGCATGCATATGGACCTGCACTGATAGAAAGGACAAACCCAATGTTCGACAGCATGTGTAGCTCCACCTACATGAGCATGACCCCGGCAGCTGTGTGGCCATGCCACAAGCAAATAGACAAACACACACACACACACACACACACACACACACACACTGACCAGCCCATATTTGCACATGCTGAGACCTCGACAGGGCAGACACAGAATGTCAGTGCAGGTGGAACGATTGATGCGAAGAGGGATGCAAGTGCACATATTAGAGTGCTAGTCCATGTATCTGCGTCTGTCTCTGTCTGTCTGTCTGTCTGTCTGACTGTCTCTGTCTGTCTGTGGGTGTACTTACGTACGTAAGTAATTACGTATGTATGTGTATACATCCGTTATGTGTGCATATACATATACATACATACATACATTTACACATACACCTAGCCATCCAGCCACCCATCCAGCCATGCATGCAAGCCTGAATGCATGAATATATATCTATATATATATATATATATACACATACAAACACATATACATACATATATATATATATATATATATATATATATATATACATATATATATATATACATATAATATATATATATATATATATATATACATATATATATATATATATAACCAACCATTTCTTCATTCTGAACAAATAGGTCCGCACACACACACACACATACACACACACACACACACACACACGCGCGCGCACGCACACGCACACGCACACGCACACGCATGCACACACGCACGCACGCACGCACGCACGCGCGCACATGTGTGTGTGTGTGTGTGTGTGTTTGTGTGTGTGTGTGTGCGTGTGTGCGTGTATGCATATATAGGTATGGCTATAGATATGGAAGAAAGATACCGGCCTGCCTACTTGCTTGCCTACCTGCCTGCCTACCTACACATGCACCAAACGCAACATCGTACATGCTGCCTTCTGAACAGCCTGCCGATGAGAACTCTCAACGAAGCCCCGAGGAGATGCTGAGCACGAAGACGGGATTGTCAGAATGTTGCTGAGGTTCCGAAGAACAAAGTTCGCATGCACTCTCGGAATGCTGACTTGCACGAGGTTTTTCCTTGTGGTTTGTGCCGCTCTGAATAACTGTGGACAGTTACGCGTCAGTACGATCGCAAACAGCAAAACCCGTTGAGCTCTTGCTTCTGTTCAATCTCGTGGTTCTATATGCCCATTCTGCAGAAGGGGTTCAGGTCGTGGAGAGGAGTCTCTGAACTTCGGCAGCGCACATGGAGAGTTGGGGCTCTGCATCTGCGATTGGCTCTGATTTGTATGGCCCAAACGATGGGGTCCGGACAGACTCAGCGCACCTGCTGGGGCCACAATGCATGGGTTGTATGAGATACAAGACACTTGTAAATAACATGTACAGTACATACACAATAGCATTGAGAAATACATACATATATATATGATATATATATATATATTATGATACAGATATAGATATAGATATCATTCACGTATAAAACAACATACAACAAATTATACACATTGCGTGCGTGTGGGTGTGTGTGTGTGTGCTCGAGTATATGCTGCGAGATGGGGGTGTAGGGTCTCTGAACAACAGTCAGGAAAGCTTCGAGAATGAGCAACTATGGTTTGAGCTCACCGGCAAACCGGGCTGATGTGGTGTATGTCTCGTATAGGACCTGGAGCCATGTAGCGTAGAAAAAGCGCTCTGGCCTTGAAGCTGAGGGCTTCAACGAAGGCTTCAGGGCTTCAGGACAACTTCAAAGAAGAGGCTTCAAGATGTGAGGCAAAGCAGACAACCACGCAGACTTGTCGATCCCGGCATGTAAATTCGTAGCCAAGCTCTGTGTCGAATGAACCTCATACAACTTCAGACCCGCAACCTGAACTCAAAGCCAAGAATGTCAGCAAGACGTCACCAGCCCCACAAGTCTTGGGCTGGCGAAGAAGCAATCGTCGTAAATTCCCAGCCCGTTGCCAGTATAGTGAAAAGCAAAGTGTTAAAGCTGTCTTAAGCACACGCGGACCACTGGCAAACTCGAGCTCGAGTCGCGAAACCCTAAAAATGACAAATTTAGACATTTGAATCACGCAGCTCCAACTCTATGTCCGAGTCCTGATCTCCTGAAAGCACTCCGGATGGCCAACAATTTCCTGCCTTGACGCGAGAATCGCGGTATTGCTAGCAAAATTATTGCTCCTCTTCTCATGAGCCTTGTAATCTCATCCCAGTTCTGAGTCGTCACTTATCTTCAGCAAAAGCTGCAAAAGCTTACGACAGTTGGGCCTTATCGTCATCACGCGCGCAAACAAATCCTGGAAGCCGATGCCTCGCCACTGGGACCCGCATTCACACGCGAAGCACGCAGCACCGAGGGCCACAGCATCTGGCCTGTCGAGGGCTGGGCACTTGGCGCAGGTATATCTTGTTTGGGATTTTGCAGGGCTGCCTGAAAACGGTGCGCAAGCAAAACTATCCCTGACGTATGAAAGCCTGGGCCGTTGAAGTCGGGCCGTGAAACATTGACCCTTCGGGCTTGGTTAAAAGCAGGCTTGAGACGAGGAGCTGTGGGGTGAAGGGCTGAGGAGCTTTGGGGTCTCAGCGGCTGAGGCGTGGGAAAAAGCTGTGGGTCAAGACGCAAACGATTCAGAGCCTACTCCGGCTCTTGGGGTCTGGGGTCGAGCCCTGGTCTCTTGCTTTGCAATACCGTGGTTCCGGTTTTCGGGAATAGTTTCGGGACAGGATTGTAAATAGATCTCCACCCGTTCCCACCCGAAGGTGGTTATTCAAGCAACCTCTTAGCCGAAAGCAGTTGCGTGCTGGGGAGGGGGCGCGGTTTGAGGCTGAAGCTTGCCAAAGACGAGGCCACCGCTATATGGATAACAAACAACCTAAACCTGTGCTTGAAACACTAGATAGAAAATGATGATCGTCTGAAACCGGCTCCCCCCAAACTCGGACAGCCAGCAGCACTCAACAAGCCCAGTATGAGGACTCGACTGAAGCTCATGGAGGGAAAGCTCATTCAACACATTCAGAGCCTGAGGAATCAAAGCACGCGAGCCGGGACCTTCGGTCTGGGGCCTGTGGGATTTGGGCAATCTCAGGGTATGGCTTCTGAGGTTTGGTACCAACACCTGCAGCTGAACTTGCTTCGAGTCTGGGAGTTGGTTGACATCGCAAATTTAGGTGTGTTCGAGTCTTCGAGCTTCTGGGCATAGAGATTCTGCAGTAAACTTCGAACAGAGGACTATGCACTGTACTGCAAAGACGAACTAGGAGTTTTCTCAGTCTGACAGCGCCAGGCATTGCATCGACGAAACATGGATCAGGTAGGAAAAACGACGACCTCCCTAACGATGAAACCCAGCCTATACACTAGCAGTAGCATGGTTATATGAGTGACATCCCCGAAATGTCCGCAAGGCCCACTGCCAAATCCTTCAAGCTTGAAGCTCAGCGCGAAGCTTGCTCCCATGCCTGGCCACGGGCGCATGCGGTCATGGCCTCAGTGCATGGCGAAGCTGCGCATCTCTGATCTGAACGACACTTGGGAAGCTGAAGATTTCACGGGAGCTAGCCAACAATATGGGTTGCGCATACGTTCGCAACGCGGGCTTTTGAGGCCGGTGGATGAAAGGCCTGAGATCTGAGGCAAGGCATGTTATGAATACACATAGAGAACCCGGTGTCCTCCCGACAGAAAGCTTCTTGTCATCTGTAGGTCCCCTCGTTGCGGGGTCTCGCTGAGTCAAGTATACTAGCTTGGATTAATTTCAATACTACCTCCCAAGTGCAGGCTCCTGTCCGGACAGGGGCAAATTTGCTTAAAACTTAAAACAATCAAGTCTCAACGCTGGCAGCCAGATTTTTGCTATTGCCAAGGACCGCGACATTTTCACTGTCTCGAGAATGATATCAGTGCAGCAGCTGCAGCAGCAGCTGAACCATCAAGACAAGGCGTGATTGGCATACTCCTATGTATATACGAACTCGCATGCATGTTTAATCCCACATGTACACATACAAATGTATTTGTATCCAGGCCCAAAGACTACGACGACGACGACGACTACTACTACTACTTCTTCTGCTGCTGCTCCTACCACTACCCGGACCACTACCAGTACTTCCACTAGCACTAGAGGCAAAAACCACTTTGTGGGAAACTCGGCCCTCAGAGCACCCCTCTCTGCCTGATTCTTGCGATGAGTACTACTACACTACTGCTGCTCCTGCTACTACTACTTTTACTGCTACTGCTACTGCTCCGGCTCCGGCTGGCTGCTACTTCTACTTCTACGACTTCTCTTCTTCTCTTCTTCTACTAATTATTGCTTCTTGTCTACTACTACTACTACTACTACGACGACGACGACTACTACTTCTGTTACTTCTTACTACTACCAGTTCTTCTTCTACTAGCAGTTGTTCTTCTACTACGACGACGCGACGACGACCACTACTACAACAAGTACTACTACTGCCACTACTCAGCTGCTGCTGCTACTTCTTCTAATTCTGCTCGCCAGGTCATGGTGTGGATGATGACGATGTTGATGGTGGTGATGCTCTTGATAGTTGCTCGGAAAGGGGGCAACCCCATATCCCATCCAGGGTCAGGGCCGCACAAAAGCTCGGAAGCGTTGGCAGCAGTCCAGAACGCTGTATTTCAGCCTTGCAACGTTGAACTTCCAGTTCCCGTTATGGCACAGGCATGCATGAAACTCTCTTTAGCATGCAGTCTTGAAGTTTCTTGATTCCGGATGTCTAGCGCAGAGTAACAAGCTTGTGACCCAGAACATGAGGCTGACATAGGCTGGCACAATTCTGCACACACATACACGACAAGCTTGCTGGAGTCAAGGCTTCACGCCTTACGCATCCCTGTCGACAGTGCAGTCTCACGCCTTCGCGAAGAAATAAGTTATCCAAAACCCTCTGCAACTCACCAAAGCTGCTTCTGGAGCAAAACTATACCCAGGATTCCTCGGCTCCTTAGACGCTCGGCTGAGGAATGGCTGAGCAAAGCAGCACACGGATATCGGGCCCACGGATGCCCTCTGGGCGCAACTTCAAGATCTCGAGGTCCAAAAGATGGCACTCATATACAGATCCCTGTCATGAAATTCATCCCTGTCAGTGCGAAGGAGCCCAGGGTACGCAGACTCGGGCCCCGTCCAGCAAGAACAGAGCATGTAGCCAGGCAAAACCTGCCCGACAGCGACTGAGATCACCCCAATCAAAGGCGCACTTCCAAACCCTAAAGCAAAGAACTTCTAACCTGGTAGACACCAAATAAAGCCGGAGGTGGATACCAACACCGGAGATATAGCCGAAAGCCTGGCGCCAACTCCAGTGCCAAAGACGTGCGCTGAAATATGGATCATCATGGTGCAGTATCCCCTCTTCCCCGTCACCCCCTCCCCGCCCTCTCCCCGGCACACGCCCGGGCTCCAAAAATGACGAATTCCTGTGATTGCGCGCGCTTCTTCCACATGGTGGCTCCAAAACCGTCAACTGTCACGAGGATCTCGTCCCAAACACACCCGATCCTTGTGAGAATGGACCTCTTCCAAACACGACTCCAACATGTGGGTATTCAAAGTGCAACTGTCGCGGGGATCGCGTTCCTGACACGCTCGGTTCCTGTGCCAGTTGACCCAATCTTTCATGCGATAAAGGTATTTTATGGCAACTATACCAAACATACGAAAAATACGTCAACATGCCAAAAACTGCGCAAAGCTACCCGAACATACCGAAAGTACCCAAAAATACCATAGGCACACGAAATAATACCATAGGCATTCGAAGACATATGCTCGTCTCACCATGAACATCGATATCGTACGCCGGGGATTCAGCTGTTGTGGGGGGACTACTATTGTATCTATCCAGAACGGTAAATGACTACTGTGGATGTAATTTCATATCGCGGCAGAATAGCTTAATTAACCTCCTGCACGCCGCCTGCCATTGTCTTAAGCTCGCCTTGATTTAGCTGGAGCCGATCATTTTGCTTCTCAGACTCTGCCTGTCACCAACGCTGCCAGAAACATCGCCGCTAAAAATCGGACAGTATTTCCTTTGCTAGCTGGCCTGTTCCAAGGTAAGGAAAACAGCACAGACCGACCATCCAGACTGTATTTGTTGTAAGCTTATGTACTTGTTGTGTTCGTCCTCTGTCAAAAAGGTGTGGTTCGGGCTTTGGGTTTGCTTGGTGTGGCTCCCCTCCGCTTCGCGGTTTGGGTCCCCCTGGGGTGTTTGGCATCATGATCAGCAGCATCAGCATCAGCATCAGCATCAGCATCAGCATCACCATCATCATCATCATCATCATCCTGTTACTGTCTTATCAACAGAACCACTAGGGTATGTTCATAGAAGGTGGTTTCTTGGGATGTTTTAGTATACAAAAGCGCACAAAAGTTTACAAAGCAATATCATCAACATAAAAATTTTCATCAACATACAAAAACATCACCAACCTACACAAATATTACCAGAATACCAGATAATGTTACCAACATACCAGAAAACTGTGAGAACATACTAGAATCAACTATCCAAAACACCATCCAAACATCAAGACATTGCCTGGACCTACAGAGCCCGACATGCTGCTAGCATAGGGCCTGACACTACAAAAGCAAAAGACCAACACAGCGATGGCGGGCCAAAAATACAGGACAGCGAACAACAACAAAAACCAACACTGATACTAGCATAAACAGCCGGCTACATAACGTGTATAGTACAAGAACAGCCAACAGACAGCCAATGGATGCAGCCGACATTCAATACCACAGAAGCCACATAGCCAAAACACTAAGCAACACAGAAAAACAACAAGCAACAGACGCGATAACATACCAAAAAGTATCAACACCTTCAAGCAACATACAAAAGATACAGACGCAATACAAACAAATACAGAACAATACAATACAACAAAATTGACACGCACATAAAAACATAACAAAAACAACTACGAGAAAATTGGGGGTGGGGTGGGGGTGGGGGATGTCAGAACCATACCACAGAGAATGGCATGAGACCCAACTGGGGGCGAGCGGGGGCCCAGGCACACCGGGATCAACTACAAGCGGAGTCGAACCCTAAAAGGGAAGGCGACACGACCACGATCCCCGAAACGACGACACGGACCATGGCGGCCCCAACCACGACGTCCAGAACTGTTTTTCGCATTGTGTTCTAGTTGTTGACATTCGTCGGTTGCCTTCCTTTTGAAATCTGCCTGCTACTCCCGCCTTAATGCTGCACCGGGTTTTGATTAGGTCGGGCTCTATACTGCGCTGGGATAACTGAGCATTACTGGGGGGCATTCTCGATGATGTGCTCCGGCTTTGGCCGGACTTGTTTCCGCCATGTCGTTTGTGCAGATGGTCAAGTTTCTCCTCAGAGGATCGCCAAAGGCCCCAGACATCTCCTTTTAGCCTCAGCCTTATGACATGAACCGTTTCAATGGACTTTACATGGGACTATGTTTGGCAGCCTGTACTGAGGATTTTGGTCGGGTAGGCGCCTGAGGCTTGGTTTTGGAGGGTTTGGAAGCTTGTTCTTAAGACGTAATCAAACCGGCCTGAGTCATGGTTTTCTAAGAGTTTGGAAAGGAATTATCTAAATCTGCATTCGAATGACTCTTGTTTGACCTACTGCGCTCCAAGTAAGTATTGGAGTCATAGCTCACTACTGTACTGAAGTACCACGACTGTGCCAATGAACCAGACATGTACTACTACAACTGCAACTACAGCTACAGCAACAAGCAACTACAAGTACCACTACTACTACTACTACTACTACTACTACTACTACTACTGCTGCTGCTGCTGCTGCTGCTGCTGCTGCTGCTGCTGCTGCTGCTGCTGCTGCTGCTGCTGCTGCTGCTGCTGCTGCTGCTGCTGCTAGTGCTGCTACTACTGCTAATACTGCTACCGCATCTACAGCAAAGCTGTACTGGTGGGGTCTGGGGAGGATGCCGGGAGCATGCAAAACAAGGTGCCGGAAAATGGTTGAGGTCGAAACGCTGTGGGGCCCCGCGGTTTGACACCTTCTTCGTCTTAGGTTATTTGGGTTGACCCACGTGTGTTGCATAAACTCGGTGCGACACTGACACTGCTACCGCTCGTAGGCCACTCTTAGCTACTATCAACACTATTCTGTCGCTATATAGTCCATGATTGCGCTCCGCAGTAATTACTGCGGCATCTTTCGTCGCAGCGTGCATTCAACTTCTGTGGGGCGTCCCCGGTCTCCATATACTCCCCCATGCTGGACTGACAAAACACACCAACCGCTAACGATCAGCCTGAGAACAAGGCAGCTCGACAACTTGCAGGATAGAAGGCAGATCTCAGTACTGGCCGCCCCGGAGCTTCCGGGTCTCTAGCGCCGCTTCGGGGGCTTTGGGACAGAGTTTCATAGCGCCTTCTGCCGCCGCGGTGATCGTGGCATTGAAGCTTACGGCAGTAGCTGGGATCCTGGCCATGAAGTGAAGGAGATCAAAGTTCGGGCACGCATGGGAACCATCATCCAGTATCTGTATATCCTGGCACTCACGGGTGCTTGGGGACCGCCCGTTGCTGTGATTGTGCCCTTCTCTTGATTGCAGCAGTGCGGAAACCGATTGCACACGAAGCCCTGATCTCTGAACCCCAAAGCCGCAGATTTGACTGGCGATCCTCCATTCTTAAGCCCATCTGCAGGCACCTTTGTCTCAGCATCTGTGCAAAAAGGCCGAAAGCTCGCACCCACTCGCTGCCTGCGTTGCAACTTGGGATCGCCGGTGTTTGTCTGAGTCTACGCGGTTTAAGGATTGGGCGGGGCGGGGTGGGTGGGGGGGGAGGGGGGTGGGTTGGCACTATAACCTTTCGGGGAGTATATAAGGTGGATCTGTTGAGGCAGCATCCAACGGCAGGGGTTTCGTGCCCTTGCGCAGATGATGTGTGTAGGGCTATCACAGCGTGCGGTTGTGCTGGCCTCGGGCTTCCTGTGCGCTGCGTCTGCGTGTAAGGCAATTTACGATCACGGGACCTGCCTTTGGCACATGCATCGATCGCTGAAGTGTAGCTGATGTCATCCTGACAGTAAACAGCTCGAGATCAGGCTGCGTTGAGATAGAACTTCAAGACCAGCATCGCAAGAACTCGGGCTTGCGTGTAGTATGTTTTGCTCGCCCAGGAATTCCGAAGCCTTTGGAACGCCGACTTATCAACGCGCCTAGAACCGAGAACCTGCACATTCGTGCAGCGTCGCGTCCGTCCGAAAAGCCGTTCAGGGCTGAGGCTTCGTAGCTTCTATCCCGGATTAGGGTTCAAAATCCTCTCTGGTGTGTGCTTGCGGGGGCTCAGACTTCAGACTGCGGTGTCCTCTGGTACTGGCGGAAGCCAATTTTATGTCTGCGAGTCTACTTGCTCGCCTAGACAGACCAAGCCGTGACAGGTATCATTAGTTTCCTATCGCAGAAAGCAAAACTTCTCCTCACCCTGTGAAGGGTCTTATAAACAAGTCTCAGCGGACACTGCTATACGGTCGACTGCTTCACTACTGCTATAACAGCTTCCGGTGGTTTGACGTCGGCTCAATATAGATCAATCCTAGAAACTTTGAGATATCAAACTTTGTCAATATATATCAAGACACCTATATTCAATTCTGTTGCTTTCTCTGTGTCGCTCTCTCTCTCTCTCTCTCTCTCTCTCTCTCTCTCTCTCTTGCGGGGCAAAGACTAGTGATTAAACAGTCGGAACATGGGCATTTCATAGGTAACGAACAACATACTGCAAAAGTTGAAGGCCCGCAGGGGACTTCAGGGGCACATGCCTTGATAGTATGGCATTTCGAGCCCTGCAATTAAATGTGGCAGAGTGGCGCCGGCTTCGGTGGATGACGACGAGGTCCTGACATAGCGGACAGCCACAGATTGATCAAATCTGCTACTGGGGTGAAGAGCGGTTTAGGTTGGACCTTGACACTAACAGCGGTCGGTTTGGATCTTGCGTCTTTTGGCTGCGCAGGCGACGGAGGATTGATAGAACTGCAAGGTCTGAAGAAGTTATACAATGGAAGGGCTTGTCCGTTGGTGATTTGGCCCCGCCTTATGAACACGCTGAGGTTACAGAGCCTTGCTAGATGTTGCTAGGCACAACAAGACAAAAACAAGTCTGCATCCTACAACTTGCCCTGTACATGCAACCGCATAAAATGTACAGGCTGTTGCAGATGCGTGGGCACCCCACGACGTCGCCTGCAATTACAGAACAAGGTGCAGCCCAGGCGTTCCACCAAACAATCTCGATTCCAGACTTTATTAGCTGACACCACAGGTGTGAGTTCCTGTCCTCTCCGACCCAAACCTCCGGGGAGACGACATGTAATTTTGTGCAACACCCCTGGCCTCTGAGCCCCGCACGCCTGCAGGAACCGGAGTGCCATGGGCCATGCGCTGCCTGTCGAGCTTCAAGTTCCACGGAGTCCATGAAAATTCTTGGCGGGACATCTTACACGGTATAGTTTCGCAGATGTAGCCGTGCACTGGATCAAGGTCGGATCCCAGCGCAGGGCAGCCGACCTGTGACTGTGATCATATGGCATGTTGTTGGCTGTGGTTTTACAAGTATGAAGCCTGCGACCCTGGTAAGGCATGCGCGAACATAGCTACAAGCAGGGAAGAGATTACGTCAATTTCTTGGGAAGTAAACTCTTGCCCTGACGTTACCAATCAGCGGTGAAAGATCGTTGGCTTCTTTTCAACGCTTGCACTGCCTCTGTAGGAGCTTCACGTACACGTGTACAGGGTTTGGTTCTTTCCGAAAACCGAACTACCCCAGATCAAACTGAGAATCTGTGCCAGGAATGCAGCAAGCCAGTCCCTACCTCGAGCGCATGCGGCCATGACAGAGTTGAGCGCTCTGGCCTAAGAGGAGACATGCACCCTGCATCTTCGCTAAGCCCTAACGCCCCTGTAGCCTGCGCTCAACCACAAACTCTGCATGTGAGCTTGACGCATTGCAATGTAATTGCGTTTGGGTGTCGCCAGTCGCTTGGCAATTGCCGAATCCCAACAGAACATCACAATCCCAAAGGGTTCAACGATCCAAGGAGTCCAACGGTGTACGATCTTGGTTCGGTTTGCCGCACGTCTGTTGTCTACGGGTTCTGCAGTTCTTCCGACCCTCGTGTTTGGAGGATCGCTCTGAGTGCAGCGAATAAGCTTAAACCCGGACACCTTGAGCCGCTCCTTATCTGCTGCCGGTTCTAGGTGGCAGTAGATTGAATGGTTAGCAACATCACACAGGATGCCCTACGATCCTCTATGCCGATACATTTGATGCATTACTTCAAGCTGCCCGTTACACTGAAGGTTTGGGCTGCGACGTCGGGTATGAGGCCTTCGCGCACAAGCCTCGGATCGGATTCTTCGGCTTCGGGGCTCTGCGTTTCGGGTGGTAGCGGCGTCTTATGCATCTTGGGGTCATCTACTGGTTGGATTGTCAAAGCTACGGGAGACGTGCTTCTTCGATGGTTTTCCAGGAAATGGCAGTTGAGCGGGCATCAGTAGAATAAAGACGTAGGTAATCCAGCATGCATGCATGCATACGTGCATGCATGCTCCAGGCACACGAGAATGAACAATAACTTCCGAACCACTCGAAATCTGAGAAACAACAACGCGTGATTGAATCCTAGCCACAAAACAAAGCCACAAAACATACATTTCTCAGTCCCTACACCCAGGTCCGCCATGCAACGCCGACGAAGCCTCGCCTCGATAATCCCCGAATTCACGCCATGACTGCAAATGTGCTGAGTCTGCAGCTTCCCCTGGGATACTGTACCTCTTGACCAAACTGCACGAAAATCAAGTCTAATGATCCCATACCCAAAAACTACAATACAACAAAGCGGGCGGCGATGAGTAGGCCACCAAGGCAGCCTCCCATTTCGCAGACTGCCTCGTCCATGCGGAGCATTGTCACAATAACAAGCTCAAAACCGGCAATTTGCTACGGTTCTCAAAGATGCATGTACATGCCGTTCCTTTGTGCAAAGTCCTCCCACCGTAACCTTGCCTCTAGACATGCTGAGAGCTCGGGCCTGCACCCTTGCAGTTCCTGAAACCTGAGTCTCCGATATGAACTACCCCCGATTAAAGTCCCTCAAACAAACCCGATGGGCTCCAGTCCCGACGCTCGCAAGTTATGCACTGCTCATTATGTTTGAGCATCTTCCTGAGCGTAAAGTGGCTCGGCTCTCGGTCGGGGTCTTTGGTTGTTGCTCCGAGCGTTGGCGCTGTATGGGATGTGTGGATCAGGTGCTTCATGCAGGGTTTTGGGTTTGGCAGGTGCAGGTCGAGGAGCCAGCATTTAGGCTAGTCTTCACCAAGCATGTAGACTAGCCTAGGGTGCCAAGGTCAAGAACTTGACAATCCCAAACTCAGAAACACTGAGCTTCAAGGTTCAGGAGAGTTTCACACAATCTGGTCGTCTGAGCTCGGCTCGCACACACATTGACTGCCTCGGTGTAGGCTCGCACATTCAGTGCAACCTCAGTGGAAAGTCGGGTGCAGGGCTTGAGAGACTGGGGAGTGCCACAGCACCTGGAGCCTTCTCCGGCTCGCGGCTTCAAGTCAGGCTTTGACAAGGCGGAAGTCAAGTTGCTCAGACATGACTTGTGGATCCTGCCTAGCTATGAAGCAGGATTTGGAGGCAGTATTTATAACCTACGCCACAGAACACACACTCACACTCTCAGTCTCTCTCTCTCTCTCTCTCTCTCTCTCTCTCTCTCTCTCTCTCTCTCTCTTTGCCGGGGAATGCTGGCATATAAACATGTATAAATACATACATACATACATATATATATATATACATATATATATATATATATACATATATATATATATATATTTATTTACACATATGAAAGCATATGTATGTATGTATATATATATATATATATATATATATATATATATATATTAACACACACACATACAAACACACACACACCCTTGCAAGATGAGAGTCCTTCATCAAAGCAGGACAGCGAAAGCTCCCATTGTCTGACTACACATAAGGTCCAGTGCAGTCATACAGGCGCGGACTTGAGGGGATTCCACTGCCAGAAACAGTCTGCGGGGCAACACATCTTCTTAAAAGAGGAACAGCTCAAGGAACATCTCCCACCACAGCACAGCAAGGGCACGCGGTGCTATCGTCTTTACGACGAGCTGGTTTCAGGGCTGCAGTGACGGCAGGAGCGCAAGCGTTTGGCTAGGGCATAAACATGTAAGCACACTGTCTGCGCTCCTATGTAGGCTCTCCACCGCACCTACAAGTAAGGGTGTTGGACTGCTGCACATTGCCATGCTTGGTGCGACGCTTGGTACAAGTCGGTCGTGCAGGGTCCACTGGGCCATGAGCTGGCATCACAGTCGTGGGAACGGAGAGATATTGCGGCGCATGTGTTTTGATAGCTGCTGCTGGCTGCAGGGCCCTGGTGGGTCACAGCAGTCAACGCTCTGTCGCGCAAGTTGTGGAGTGCCAGTGGGGATTAGTGTAACAGTGCTCCTTCGATGATATTACACCACCCGCAGAGTCACAAAGTCCCGTCTTCCAAAAACAAATCCATCCGTGTTATCCCATGTTGAACCAGTGCCCAACCCTTCTGAAAACCTAAAACTATCCACCGTCACCTATTATCGGGTATACCGATACTCATTTACTCATTTGTGAGATTCCTTGTCCTTCTGAGTCTCTCGCCTGTGCCTCCCGCGCCTCGTCGAGGAGAGCAGCTGCGCGCTGCCATCGCCTCGGAGCCAAACGCAGGTAAAATCCGGATTTGTCGCTGGGATCTCCGCTCCCATAACCAGTTTGAAGTTGGGCCTTAGGCTTCGGCATAGCCGCTTGCAAGAGTGTCTGCATCGATTTAGGTGACCACTGCAAGGAACAGCTTTTAGGGCTTCGGAAGTCGGAATCTGAATCATCACGTCTTTGGAGTTTTGCTATAGACGTGGAGGATGCGGGGCATGAAAATCCCAAGAGTGCCGTGATTTAGTTCCTGAAGTGGCACTCGCCAGGCAAGCAAATTACCTTCCCAGCCTCCTCGGAAGACATGTTGCTTCCTTCATTCGCTGTAACAGCCCGTCCAACCACCATCACAATCACCGCCTCTGCCTACGCCACTGCCACCACCATGCACCATCGCCACCACCGCCGCTGCAACCACCACCACCACCATCACCACCACCACAACCACCACATCATTCAGGGACAAGAACAGTACAACGGCAGCAGCATCAGCAAATGACGACGGCAAGGGCGGCAATGACAAGGACCACACCACCACTCCTGCCACCGCACCGCCACCCACGGCCACCACCACCGCCACAGGCCACGCCTACAGGCCACAGGCCACCGGCACCAGCACCAGCACCAGCAACAACAACAACAACAACAAAATCATCATCTCCTACTGCTACTACTACCACTACCACCACTACCACCACCACCAGCGCCACCAGCAATAACAACAACAACAACTACTACTACTACTACGACGACGACGACTACTACTACTAAGTTACGAAGTGACTACTGCGACGGCGACTATTACGACGACTACTGCTGCTACCACTGCGACTGCTGCTGCTGCTGCTGCTGCTGCTGCTGCTGCTGCTGCTGCTGCTGCTGCGGCTGCTACTGCGACTGCGGCTGCGACCGCGACTGTGATGCGACTGGGACTGCGACGACTACTACGACGACTGCGCATAGCGCTGATACTTGATATGATACGGCTACGAAGTCTAAGGCTTCAAGGACACTCGTGGCGAGCATCGTGCACATAAGATCACATAAGCATGCAAGCTTTGCATATGGCAATGACCACAACCACAACCACAATCGTCATCATCGTCGTCGTAGTAGAAGTAGCAGCAGTAGCAGTAGTAGCAGTAGTAGCAGTAGTAGCAGTCGTGCACCGACATAGAACGAGACAGGCATCGAAGAAAATATCGCACTTTGCCGATCGTGCATGACAGCCAAAGAATGCTTCCGACTATTGAGGCCCCTTTGTTGGTCTCACAGTCAGTCTTGAGATCGCAGCCCCTCTTGCTTGTAGCTGCCAACCAGGGCGCTGTACACCTCATCAAATGCTCAGCTAGGCTAACTTACAGAGTCAAACATCGACGTTTTGGTTCAGCGGCTTATGCTGAGCTGTTGGGGTGTGACAGAACCAACAGCCCGGTAAATACTCAACAGGTTGCCCTCAAAATGGCCTCTATAGCAGTGTGGAAACGATGTGGAGCGGCACGGAGTATGTTGGTGCTGTTTCCCGGCCTATCGAGCTGAAGCTTCCCGCTGAGGTTTAGAGTTCGAAAGGCTTCAGTCTCCAGGTTCGGGCATGTTCTAAGTTTAAGATTTAGCGATCAGTAAGGCGATGGTTGCCTTGCATGCCACGATGAATCAAGGTTTGCTTCTACCTGACCCCGGAATACGTCCCGTCACAAAAGACGCAGCTGCAACTACTGTACCTTCTGAGGCGAACCAGTCGAACTCCAGCTCACAGAGGCATCAGGTCGCCCAAAGAAATGCCGACATTGGATACTGAATCTTTCAGCCTGACCTCACCTCGCAATGCGATGTCTCAGAAGAACACGCGCTGGGCCAGTTTGCTGGGGGGCCGTTGATGAATGAATTCGTCTCCGAAAGCATGTGGTGTAATTCGTTCCCATCCCAATCGAAAAGTGTTTGTATTCCCGGCCGAAGATCCCAGACCGCAAGCCCATGTAGAATTACCTCTCGAAGAGCTTCCCAAAGCCTCCCAGGCGATTAGGGGAAGTCTTGTTGAGAATTCTAAGTGGGCCTTCAGCATTTGTTGTCCCCATTAGCGACA